GCGAGGCAAAGTGAAAGAGGAGCTGTTGCCCCAAAGAAACCCTAGCTAAACATGGTTCAAAATGGTTCTATTATGATTCGTGCTGCCTGTTTGGGCGGACTCAGTCCGGTTCTACTCATCTGGTTGGAATAGGGGTTGTTGTGGGGGAAGCTCATAACACACACACACACACACACAAACACACAGGCATACACACACCTGTGTTTGTGCGCGTTTCTGTGTGTGTGTGTGTGTGTGTGTGTGTTCGTGCGTGTTTCTGTGTGTGTGTGTGTGTGTGCGTGCGTTTCTGTGTGTGTGTGTGTGTGCGGCCGAAAACCATCAGTGCAGCAACATCTACAACATGCGCCGCAACGAGAACAAGAGCAATGGCAAACAACATCCACAAAACAATGCCCTTCGATCCTCACGCACAACGGCAACCACAACAGGAATTGAAGGTACATGGGCAAGTACAGTGGCAACTGAACAGCAACTGTTACAACAGCATTGAGAAAAGCAGCTTGAACCAACACCCCCCCACACACCCCCACCCCACCCCACCGCCCCACCCCCCCCACAAAAAGATAACACAGGCAGTAAAGCTGGAAAAGAAAAACAGGCAGGACAATGAAAAGAAAGAGAAAAAAAAAAAAAAAAAAAAAAAAAAACAGAAACAAAAACAAAACTGGCAGAAAGAAAACCCACGCAGGAACTGAAGGTAGAACAGCACTATAAACACCAACTAAAACAGGATCTACAACAGCAAACACCATCTAGAACAACACGTACAACTACAACTAGAACAACATCCACAGCTACAACACCACCTACAACCACAACTACAACGACACCTACAAAAAAAAAAAAAAGAAAAAAAGAAAGAACACCTACAACACTACTACAACAGGAACCGAACCTAGAACGGTAATCCGAACTGCACCTACAGTTACAGCAGATGTAGCAACAGCAACCAGGACAGCACAAACAGCAACCACGACAGCGCACAAACAGCGAACCACGACAGCGCACAAACAGCAAACCACGACAGCACACGAACAGCAACCACGACAGCTCACGAACAGCAACCAGGACAGGGCGGACAGCAACCATGATAGCGCACAAACAGCAACCTGCCCTTCAACGCCAAGAACAACCCGCGCTTGAACAGCACTTGGGGGTCGAGGTCGAGCTGTCATGTTAATATTAAGCTCTCTCTGCACTTTTTTTTTTTTTTTTTTTAATCTCCTTTGTGCATGTTTCTCTCAGCCATGCATGGGAGCAGCCTCTTCTGTTCAACACCAGCCACTTTTTTTTTTTTTTTTTTTTTTTTTTTTTTTTTTCCCCATGCAGAGTTGTCGATATCTATCTTGGGACAGAAGACATAGTCCCATCAGCAGGTTGTAATTTTCTGGCATCATAGCAAGCACCAGACCGTCGTCAGCAGGTTGTAATTTTCTGGCATCATAGCAAGCACCAGAAAATGTACGGTCGTTGCAGCTGTATGTATATTTGGGCCAACTTTCAGTCGAGAAACAGTGATAAGGACCGGACAGCATGGGTTCTATTTGGGTGGGGAAAGGTGGTAGCATCGGAAACTACTTTCATTTTCAGAATATGGTGGTACCTACCCCCACATAGGGTGCATAATACTGCATATCTAAAAAAAACAAGGAAGTTGTGGACATGTACCCTCTCTGGAATGTGTGCTGGCACACGTTGCTCTCACTCCTTCCCCCCTCCTTTTGCCTGAATCTCCCAGTGGAACTCCCACTCTGCCTCATTCAGGCAGTAGTGCCAATGTGACCCCAGGCGCCTCTTTCTTGTTCTCACTGCCACGACCCAGTCAGTTTTGTATCCATGAAATCGTGGATTCATCTAGCCAGTCGGTGGAGAGGGATGTTGCAGACTTTCACGTGTCGCTTGACTGAGATGCGAACGTGGTCCGATCAATCGAGTATTGGATCGGAATCTAGATCCTGTTGATTGTTCGAGACGCCGCTTAATGTCAGAACCTAGCGCGTTATGAAGGCCGCGCACAGCATAAAAAGACGCATAAATAAAACATGGCAACCTAGGTTTCCTACCCCGGGCGCCCGGGGCACCCGGGCTCGGCCGGAATGGCGCTCGGGGCGCGCGGCCGGGCAACCCCCCCCGGCCAGGCCCCCGGACCCCATCAGCGCCGTACCGAAAAGGGCGGCAAAATTTTTTTTTCGCACAGTCGCCCATCGGCCAACAGGGCCAAATTTGTTTTGCCGCCGTCGCTTCAATTTTTCGGGGCCCGGTAGGCCCCTTTTGGAAGTTTTTTTTTTTGCTCGTTTTAGGCCGTCGATCGCCAGCGATCGACGGCGCGCGCACCTTCCAGGATTCGAATTCGAATCCTGGGCCGACCTCACCCGCCCGGTGCCCGCTAGCTTGGTGCCCGCCAGCCCTCCGCCTGCTGCACTCCGCCCGTCGTCGTCCTGCTGCCGCCGAGCTCGACGTCGTTCCGCGCCATTGCCGTCCTCCTGTTGCCGTGCTGTCCTCCTGTTGCCACGCCGTCGTCCTGCTTCCCGCCGACTCCCTCGAGTGCTGCGCCGCGCCATCTACAGGAAGGTAAGCTTTGTGTTCATCTTCTTCTTTTCTTTGTCTTCGTTTCTTCGTTTGTTCTTCTTCCTCTTCTTCTTTTTCATTTCTGCTTCTTCTTCTTCTTCTTCTTCTTCTTCTTCTACTACTTCTTCTTCTTCTTCTTCTTCTTCTTTTCTGCTTCTTTTCGTTTCTTTTTCGTTTCTTCTTCCTCCTCTTCTTCTTCTTTGTCTTCGTCTTCGTCTTCTTCTTCTTCTTCTTCTTCTTCTTCTCCTTTGTTTCTTCTCCGTGTTTTTCTTCTTCGTTTCTTCTTTTTTGTTTTTTCTTCTACTTCTTCGCGTTTTCTACTTCCTTTTCATCTTCTTCTTTGTTTCTTCTCCTTCGTGTTTTTCGTTTTCGTTTCTTTTTCGTTTCTTCTCCTTCGTATTTTTCTTTTTCGATTCTTCTTCTTCTTCTTCTTCTTTTCGTTTCTTCTTCTTCTTCTTTCGTTTCTTCTTCTTTTTCTTCGTCAACTTCTTCTTCTTCTTCTTCTTCTTCTTCTTCTTCTTCTTTTATTCGTTTCTTCTTCTTCTTCTCCAACTTCTTTTTCTTCTTCTTCTTTTCTGCTTCTTTAAAGTCTTTTTCGTTTCTTTTTCTTTTTCGTTTCTTCTTCCTCCTCCTCCTCTTCTTCTTCTTTTTCTTCTTTGTTTCTTCTCCATGTTTTTCTTCTTCTTTTCTACTTCTTCGCGTTTTCTACTTCCTTTTCTTCTTCTTCTTTGTTTCTTCTGCTTTGTGTTTTTCGTTTTCGTTTCTTCTTCGTTTCTTCTCCTTCGTCTTTTTCTTTTTCCATTCTTCGTCTTCTTCTTCTTTTCGTTTCTTCTTCTTCTTCTTCTTTTCGTTTCTTCTTCTTTTTCTTCGTCAACTTCCTCTTCTTCTTCTTCTTCTTTTCGTTTTTTCTTCTTCTTTTCGTTTCTTCTTCTTCTTCTCCAACTTCTTCTTCTTCTTCTTCTTCTTCTTCTTCTCCAACTTCTTCTTCTTCTTCTTTTTCTCCAACTTCTTCTTCTTCTTCTTTTTCTCCAACTTCTTCTTCTTCTTCTTCTTTTTCTTCTTCTTTTTCTCCTTCTTCTTCTTCTTCTTCTTCTTCTACAACATACCGATAGGGTCACCATCGCCTCCCTCCTCCTCCCCTCTCCGTGACACCCTCCCTCCTCACCACGTCGACGTCATCGGCCGCCATAGTGTGACGCCCAAACCTCACGCCCAGCGCGACTTCCTGATCGGAGTGGGATGTGGGCCTGGAAGTGCGAAAAGGGGTGTGCCAAGGATTTTTGGAAAAGTGGGGGAGTCTTAAGGATATGATTGCAATTGGGCGAAAAAGGGGCGCGTGCGCAGGGGACTCAAGGCCCGATGCGGCCGGGGCACTGTGGGCGACGGTTTGCAGGGAAATCCCTCCACGGTGGAGGAGGTCCCAAAAAATTAGACCGTCGGGGGCCGCCACGTGGCGCAGGTCGCCGGGTGCTTGGGTTGGGTCTTCGGAATTCCGGAGTTTTCTGTTCGCCGCTACGTCGGCAATTCACACAAAACGTGTTGGGCCAATAGGGGGCTATGGCCGGCCACGGAACAACTCTGAGTTGATGATACGGGAGAAGAAGGCGGAAATGAGGGAAACTGGTGGTGATCTCAACGAATCCTGGGTGGGTGAAGTAGTAGGTGTGGTCGGGGGAAGGGAAATCGGAGCACCGAGGGTCGCTAGTGGTGGCACAGTGGAATTCCCGCGGACATAGTCGATTCTCCGTGTGACAAGGGTATCGCGTCCTTATGAGCTCGTTTATTGTAGGGGTGAAATAGTCCGGGTCATAGGACGAGTCTGAGCCCCAAGATCGCGTCATGGTATCATTGCCGATGGGATTGCGCAGGTCGGGATATCGTCATCGCGCACGAGCACGTGTAGGACAGGCCGTGTCAGTGGCGCCTCAGCGTGCTCGTACGGGATGACGGTTCCGCCTCAAATCTTTTTGGGTGGGCGAATCGACGTACGGGAGTGCATGTAAGGGCCCGACTCGGGCCGCGTTTACACATGTTCTCGCGTGGCGCTCGCGG